AACGATGTACAAATGCGCTTTACACAATTGATGTGTGTATGGATTGGGATAACAGTTGTATGAGCCCCTAATAAAATGTTAAAAAAAAATGTATTTTAACAACTAAAAGCTGAAAGTGATAGCAAATAGTACACATAATTAAAAAAATCATTTTATTGGGGCTCGTACAACTCTTATCACAATCCATACATCATCCATTGTGTCAAGCACATTACTACATACAAATTTTGCGAGTTTTAGCAGTCTACAGGAAAAGAGCATAAAGAACTGAAACAAGTGCAAAATTAAAATAAGGTATTATAAATAAGTACTTTCCCACTAATTTCTGATGATATTTTTTTTAAAAAGCTGTAGTGTGGTTGATTTCAAACTGCCTTTGACTGTAAGAAATGTATTTTACATAATGAGTCAGTGCACACATGACTAAATGTAACTGAAATGAACATTTCATTCTTACTACCTGAACGCATGGAGCCCTGGTGGCATAGTGGGTTGCTCAGTGGGCTGCTAATGACAAGGTCAGCAGTTCAACAAGACCACCAGCCCCTCCATGAGAGAGACGAAGTTTTCTGTTCCCATAGAGTTACAGTCTCAGAAACCCACAGGGGCAGTGTGACTGTCCTTCAGAGTCACTGTAAGTCAGGACTGACTCCATTTTTTAGGGGAAACAAAGGTGTCTGAATGTGTTGCTGAAGTGATTTTACAACTCATTAATGTGACATAGCTGAGAACTACTGCAGGACTCGAGTTCAGGGAAGACTGGAGGCAGGGCGGCTGGGGTTCTTGGCCCAGTGTTGACACACAGTGGGCACTGAATGTCTGCTACATGTGTGACAATGGTGGAAATGGAAATTTAAGACGTATTACTGGATGAAGGCAGGAAAGAAACCTTTTCCAGATTTCTGGGCCATACTTGTTGACTGACGCTGCAGCGACTCCGTGCAAGCTCATGATCCCTTTTGCATTGTATCTGCATTTGTATCATAGCGTATATGCCACATAACTAAAACGTACTTTACTTTCTAAAGAAAATACCTGTAAGGTGGCTGGGATTAGAGACAGCATTAGTTTTGCAGGTTAATGATTAGAGAAAACGGCTAAAAGTAGAACAAAGTTAATATCCTAGGAGTCATGAAAGAAACTATTATACAAGGGATCTTTTTTATTGTTGTTTCATACAAGGGATCTTAAAAAAGTTCCAGGGAAAATGGAATTTCAAGATAATAGAATATTTTCATGAATGTTTGAAGCCCCTTTGATACGATGTTGTTGGACTATACCAGTAATAAGTCTGTGTCCTCCTTCAGGGCCTGCCACCAAGATGTAAAGTTGTAAGGACCAGGAACATAGTGGGGATAAGTGTAAGATAAAGATATTTTTTAAGGGGAGAGCTTTGGAGGAACTTTGGGAGACTTTTGGTTGACACCGAGCAGCTTCCATACAGGCTGCATGTTCAGGAGAAGTCCTATGGGTGCCGTGTAAACCTGAAACTTCTTCTAACTCTCGTAAAACTCACTTGGATCACACACACACACAAAAAGATATTTTTTAAACTTTCTTTTACCAAACCGTTCGACTCCTTTCTTACACGGGCTTGAACCCTCACATTTATTTCCTTTGCTTCCCCCAGTGGGTAGACCAGGTGCAGGAAATTCAGATGCAGCAGTTCACAAAAGAAAGAACTCTGCTCAACAGAGCCAAGCTCTGTTCAGACCTTTTTAACTTACGCCAACTATTAAACATGTAGTTTTGAATGGTACAGAGAAATCATGAGTTAGAAAATGAAATTCACTACCAATGTACCAAATAAGGAAAATTCCAAATGTAACTTACTTTTGTAGTGGGATCTGGCTTTGAGCCATAAACAACTTCTTCCTAGAGAAGTAATCAATCTTCTAAGAAAGGAGAAATCAATAGGGATGCTCTTTGAGATCATGAATTCTGTTATGGAGGATGACATACAAAGACTGTTGCTTTCTATGCAGGCATCAAGAAGTTTATTAAAAAGAACACTATATTGTGCAACATCCACCGGTTCTAAAAGGAAAAAGCAAATAAAACAAACTGCGATAACCAAGCCGGTTGAGTTCAGTCTCTCACACGTCTAGCTCTTGAACTGCTTTCTTTATCCCTCTTCTCTCCTGGGCCCGTCCCTACCCACCACAGGAATGTCCGTCACTAAAATACAGCCGTCTCACACATGCTCTAAGTAAAAAACCAACAACAACCAAAAGCCCCGAACAGCACGAGCAGAACAGCTGATTACTTTGCAGTGGCGTGCATGGAAAGAAGCTTGAGAGCTTTCCGGGCCAGCATGAATCTCTCTGTACACAGGCCACACCTGTGCATCCTTCTCTGAACCCATCATGCTCACTACTGACCCAAAACTGGACTTTCCTTTCCTAACCATGTATGCCTCCCACTTTAGTATCCAAGAACATTACTGCCACTGCCAACTGCTATTCTCTTTCTGGGAACTCATTGTCTGCTTATTTTTTTCCCCTGTTTGTTCTATGCGGGACTATAGTCCAAGGTACTATAAACTAAGTTCTGTGTTTAAGTGTTAAGAGAAAAGGTATTCTTCATTATCAGTGAAAGTATGAAGCTTCCTAGGGGCATTTCAGCTGATGCTTGCTGATGACTTGACAGCGGAGGAGAAAAGAGAATCACGGAAATGCCCCTGTCAGAAACGACTGACATGTACCACACAGATAACTGTCTTTGGGTTAAAACAAAAAAAATCCATCAAGAATGCATACTCAATGGGCAGGGAACACATTTTACAGAAAAGCTACTACACTAACCCTCCCCCTCACCCCCGCCCAAACTCAATCCAAACAGGTGGAGAACTGTGTCTTATGAGCTGTTAAACACCAGATATGGAAACGATAATTAAACTAGACTTTCAGAAAACATACCTTGAGAATTTTGAAAACCTGGTAGATTTTGCAAAACTTCAAATGTCTGTCTATAAAGGCTCTTGGCTAATGTCTCATGGGCAATTGTGCAAAGCAGATTATGTCGATTGATCACATCCAGCCGGTCACAAGGCCACAGTGGTGTATTGATGATCCATTCTGACTCTTCCACAGAGAAAAAAAGCATCAATACTTCACACTATAAAAATCACACTGAACACTTAATCATAAGTTAATGCTTTTAATTACATTTTGGGGAAAGTGGTAAAACTTAAATGAGATGAGAACCATGATTCAAATTTATTAAGACCAACATTTATAGCAAAGGCCGTCATCCTACAGAGATGCAAAGTAATGGTCATTCTCTGTTATGCTTCTCTTAATTAAGACTCCTCTCTCCAAGTGCACTAGATTAACTCTTATTTTAACTCTTGTTTTTATGAAAAGATGTTCAAACTGTAGTGTTTACCTTAAAAAAAGGGACGAGTACGGACATGTTCATTTCTTATCACTTATCAAAAGATTATCATTTTTTAGTATTCTTACATAACAATGTCCACATTTCTGCCTAGTTAAAAATAATTTTAAATTATGAAACATTTTATATGTGCACAAGAATATCTAAATTATAAATGCATAATAAAACAAAACTTATGTACCCATCAGCTTAAAGAAAAGAGTATGAACCATACTGACATGCTTTAACTTCTGCTCTGATTTTCAAGTCTACTATTGTGCAGGATATCGGGTGTTAAAATGTTAGAAATATCAACTCTCTCAGTCATCAGGTACATAATGAAACACTACTATAACACTGAAATCATGTCTTGGTGTTTGTTTTCATCCAGACAAAATGTTGGAGTCATCTAACCCCTTTTGTAGCCTTCCCATTGCAGGGAATCCAAAAAGGACTGAAGAAAGATGTGGTCACTCAAGTCCACAGTGCTGAAAAAAGCGTTGTGCTCCCAGTGCCTCGTTGTAAGACAGGAACTTGTTTTCAGAGTAGTAGAGCACACTTGATCGGTGGACTGAGCAGACTTCCATTACATGCAAGGCAATGTTCTAAGCGCTTTAAAAATCAAATCATTTAGGCATGTATCCCTAAAATGTGCTAAGTTTTGTTGTGTACAGAAAGCTAAAGGCACTCCTATGTAAAAAAAAAACCCTGCATAATTCACCTCTTGAACATAATCTCCATTAAAAGTAAAATTGCTTAAAAGGTGTACCTTATTTTGATAAAATAAGTAATTTTTCACTAATCATGTATCTGAAAGATATATCCCACTTATACTAAGTAGACTGTCCTCATCCTAGCAGTAAGTATAGCATTTTTGTTGTTGTTGTTGTTTAATTAATTAATTTATTTATTAATTTATTTATTTTAACATTTTCTTAGGGGCTCATACAACTGTTATCCCAATCCATACACACGTCAATTGTGTAAAGCGCATTTGTACATCGTTTCTCAAAACATTTTCTCTCCATTTAAACCCCCGACATCAGGTCCTCATTTTTCCCCTCCCTCCCCGCTCCCCCCAAGTATAGCATTTTTTAAAGTGTTATTTTGAGACTTATTTTAAAATCTTAGCTAAGTACGTAGCTATATAGAAAAGTTTGAGCAATTTGAACTAGTTGACATTCGATCATTTCAAGAGGCCGCAAGTGTTCAAGAACTGATGGCAACGAAGGAAGAGGTCTAAGCTGCACTGATGACATTACCCCCCCCCCGCCCCCCAAAAAAAAAGGGCTCTGGAAATTGAGAGAATATCAGTTGAAGTGTTTCAAAAAGTTGGTGTAGTACTGGAAATAGTCACTTGTTTATGGCAAGAAATTTGGAAGTTAGCTAGCTACCTGGCCAACCTACTACAAGAAATCCATTATTTGTACCCACAATTTCAAAGTAGGCAACCCCAAAGAATGTGAAAATTATTGAGCAAAATCATCAATATCACATACAAGGGAACTTTTGCTGAAGAAAATCCACAACAGTTGCAGCAATACATTGACAGGGAGGTGCAAGAAATTCAAGCTGGGTTCAGAAGAGCACATGGCATGAGGGATATCATTACTGACGTCAGATAGATCTTGGCTGAAAAGAGGGTACCAGAGACATTTACTCGGGTTTTACTGATCATGCAAAGGCATTTGTGTGGATCATAACAGATAATGGATAACACTAAGAATAAGAATTCCAGAATGCTTCATTGTGCTCATTTGGAACCTGTACACAGACCAAGAGGCATTTGTTTGAACAAAACAAGAGAATACTCTGTGATTTAAATTCAGAAAAGATGTGAGGGTTGTATCCTTTCATCTTACTTGTTCAGTCTGTATACTGAGCGTATAATCCACGAAGCTGGGCTATATGAAGAACACCACAGCAAGAGTGGAGGAAGGCTAAGAACATCATTCTAATATGTAAATGACACAACCTTGCTTGCTGAGAGTAAGAACTTGAAGCACACTTGCTGGTGAAGGTCATGGACTGCAGCCTTCAGCATGGATGACAACTCAACGTAAAGAAAACCCAAATCCTCACAACTGGACCAACAGACAACGTCATGATTAATGGAGAAAAGACTGAAGTTGTCCAGGATTTCATTTTGTTTGGATCCACAATCAACGCTCATAGAGGTAGCAGTCAAGAAATCAAATGTGGCATAACATCTCTTTAAAGTGCTGAAAAGTAAGGCTGTCACCTGGAAGATTAAGGCGCACCTGACCTAAACCATGCCTCATATGCACACGAAAGTTGGACACTGAATAAGGAGGACTGAAGAATTACTGATGCACTTGAGTCACTGGGTTGGCAAAGAAGGAAAAGTACCACAGACAGCCAGAACAATCTGTCTTGGGTCAAGTACAGCCAGAGCGTTCCTTAGACTTGAGGTGCTGAGACTTCCCCTCACACACGGCACGTGTTATCAGGAGACCAGCGAGGGTCCTGACAGTGAGGTTCTGAGACCAGTTAACACCAGCAATGCCTCAGAACTTGTCAGGAAAGCAAGTTCTTGGGCCCCATACCTGACTAAATCAGAAACGGGGGTTGGGGTGGGTGGGAGGAATGCCACACGAGTGCCATTAGTAGATTCTGGCTCACAGTTAACATCTCACGTTACAAGGTAGATCTGTCAGAGTAGACCTGTGCTCCATAGGGGTTTCAATAGCTGATTTTTCACAAGTAGATGGCCAGGCTTTTCTTCTGAGCTACTCTAGGTGTGCTCTTAATCTCCAACCTGCAGGCGAGCAGCTAAATTCCCATCCAGGGGCTCCAGGTGTGGGCCCAACAATCTGAATTTTAACAAACTCTCTAGGGAATCCTGACAAGAGTTCCCTATACTCTTGGCTTCAGGAAACAGTATCAGCATTTATAACTCAGGTGGTTGACTGGCTTAGATCTTGATTTTGGGTACTTTGTACTTCAATTGTGCTGAGATTTTATAAAGCCCATTTAAAGGAAAAACCTAGGGAAACAGCAGCATGAGTGTAGTGGTTAAAAACCCAGACCCTGCAGTTGTGCTCAGCTTCACATTGTCGTTTGACCTTTTCTGAACCTCTGTGTCCTCACCTTGGGATGTTACCTACCCTCATGAACACTTCATTGGTGTTAATTAAATGAGATGATACAAATAAACACTTAGCATAATGATTGGTAAATAGTAAATACTCACATTATTAGTAAATCAATAATTTAAAGACTGCTACTATCAGAAAATAGATCAAGAACACAAATAGGTTATCCACAAAAGAAAAAACATACATGAAAAAGAAAAAAAACATAAATGAAAAGTTCTATTTCTTTATAATCAACGAAGTGCATAGTAAACAGTGAGTATCACTTTTATCCCATCAAACTCAACTTTGTCAAGGGGGTTTTATAACATGCATTCGCACATATGGCTAAATTCACTACATGTTAGGTCAACCTTTTGTAGGGGATGGAGGATTTTTGTATTCTCTTAACAGATATATAATCTGTAAAGAGTGTATTAATAACCATATTAGAACTTACATCATCTGGAACGCATCAGTTTGTCTGATCAACCAAAACACGTACTATTGGGCCGGAACACCTGAAATTATCTATATGCACCTGAAATCCCCACAAGGACAGTGTCTAGATAAAAGATACATGGTAAGCAACACTTCCCAGGAACATTCTTACAAAGGAGCGTTCTCTAATAAACCTTAAATAACTTGTACTTACTGTGAATCTGAATGGCAATAAAGGCAACATGGGGAACATTTACCAAAAAGCTTTAAAATGTCTTTACCCTTTAGCCCAGCAATTTCATCAGAATTCATCCTAGGGAATTAATAGACTCAGCAGGGATATTTAGCATGGATCACTGTTTATAAGAGAAACTTGAAAATGAGCTAAGTTCACTAAAAGTACATTCATGGAGTAATATGTAGATCTTTTTTCTCCATAAGATGGAAAACCACGTAGCTCATTAAATGATGTAGAAAATGCAAGTGGCAAATGTGAATGTGTGTTATATTAAAGTGGGTAAAAATAATGTTTTGGTGACTGAATTAGGGCCTTTTATTATTATCTATGTTATCAGATTTCTATACAATGAATATGTATTTCTTAGATAAAGCAGTAAAAGTTATTTAAAAACTTAATGAAAGTTTCTTTTAAATACATTCTATGAAATGTGTATTTTAGAGAGCTAAGACTTGTTTTCCAGCCTCGAAAGCATGATTAGGAAAGTTATGGCAGCTTTAAGGTTTCTTTATGGTGGTCCAGGGAGAAGACAAGGTAAGAATGTGTTATTCACTTGCTGGGATACAAAGTACTGGCTCTGGAGAAAGTCAAAATAAGAATGAAAAGCCCTGACTTCTCACCATACCGAATGGCAACCACCAAATAAAAAATGTGTGTCTTTCATTTTTCAAACATGAATAATGCATGTACTCCTTAAAAACTCAATAACCATACACTTTGCCACTGAGTTAAATTCGAACTCACAGTGGCCCATTAGGACAGAGTAGAACTGCCCCATCGGGTTACCACGGCTGTAATCTAGAATCCTCAACCTTTCAGTTAAGTTTAGTAGGTCGTAAATAAACCTTTTTTTAAGAGGAAAAAAACAAATGTAAAAAGTCACTCTGCCTCGCCTCCCCGGCTTCCAAGCACTTAGTCCCTCTTCGGAGGGAATCTTTTGCAAATTTCTACACATGTTTTATGGACATAAGCAAATATGTGTGCATACATTGTAACTCTTCACAAGTTCTGAATCGTCTTTTTTTTCACATGGCAACAAGTCCTGCAGACCACTCCAAAAGAGGATCTGCAGATCCGACTCACTCTACTACGGAAGTCCAGTTAGTCTGCAATCTTTTGTTACTAATGTTGGCAGTCACAAAAACTTCCAGACGACTTAAGAGTACACACTCTTGTGTATAGGTACATCTGTGCAGGAGGAACCCAAGAAAGGAAGTCGACAGATTAAAGGAAATAATGCATTTTGAACTTTTGACAGAAATTTTGCCCCTAAAGACAAATGTGTGTGAATGCCTGTCTCACTATACTGCCATCAAAAGCATATTTGCAAATTTGACCTTTGTTTACACAACAGGTCCAAAACTGCATTAACATTTTAATGCATATTTCCCTCATTCCATGTGAAATTATAGGTAACACTACCATTTGTATTTGTTTTCTTCCTTTGGAACTAACTGCTGGCTGCAGACCCTTTTAAGAACAACAATGAAAGCTCTGAGGAAAAATTAGCATACTTCCACAGCCCTTTCTTTTGAAGAAATCAGATTTTACTCATGTAGATGACTTACTTCCCTTTGAAACTGTCCCTACAAAGAAGAATTCTGTGTATACAACTGATACAATCTTTAAGCTAGCCATCACCACTAAAGTATGAAAATTACAAGATTTTTCAAGTCTCCAGTCCTTGGACTATGGTTCCTTGGGGACAAGGCACAGCAAGCTGGGGGGAAATGGGGAGCCAATAACGATGAGCACAAGGATGAAGACAATGTTCTGAAACGGACTGTGGTGACGAATGTACAACTCTTCTCGAGAACTGAACTATTGGATTATATGAAATGTGAATTATACCCCAATAAAACTGTTGGGGGGAAAACCAAACTATTTAATAAAAGTCTGTATGAACCACTCCATGCCCTTCCCTCATCTTTCCCACTTTCTTCCGGGATCAGTGAGCCCCGGTTTGCAGCTCATTTCTCTGTGTCTTGGTCCTTCTTCCCCACTAGGAAACCCCATTCATGCCCACAATCTGGCGAGTTGACGAAAACTTTTACCAAACAAGCCTTTCCTCATGAAGTCCTTGACATGTCTCTCCATAAACCTTCAGCTCTCTGGATAAAAGCCAAGATTTAGTGTGTGTGCGGTTGTGTACCATGTATGTTCGTGTGCTAATGAAATGCTGCCCATCTGCTTTACTCGCGCATGTATTTCACATTCCCTCCTCAACTTGGAGGGATTCTTGACTTCCTTCCTCCTTACCCATTTTGTCAAATAAAATCTGCCCGATGGTCCACGTCATCAGGGCTACAAGTAGTTAAGCAGGTTGTGTCACTATTCCCTATTTCCATTCATCTCCCACCAAATTAATCTCACTTGTTTCCGCTGGCTTAATTTCACTGCAATTGCTGCTAGAGGAATTGCCATACTAGGGGCAGGTATGAAGTCAAGTTTATCTCTATAGAGAAGACAAGAGTTTATGCATATAACACTGACCATTTCTTAGTATCAGAAATAGTAAGAAAGCCCTGGGTTCTGAAGCTGGACTTCTTAGAAATGAATTGGGTCTCCACTCCTTAACTGGCTATGTTATTTTGGATAAGTTATTTAATAGTTCGGGCAGAATTTAATAGAGATTGTAATAGTTCCAAACCCAAAGTGTTGCTGGCAATTGACTGGGATAATCAAAGCAAAGTACTTAAGTCTGGTGTCTAGTCTATGTGTGATTGCATTTACTCTATGTTAATTTGAGGTTTTGACCAAATTATCATCGATAATGCAATATCAACTTAATGTAATCACAAAGAGAACAATTATGATAAGTTTAACACATTATCTTATGCTTGTATGTAACAAAAGAACTTACCTCTCATTACCCAAATGGCACCATCTAGACTTCCACTTTTGAGAAAAATTTCTGCTGCAATATTCACAATTTGACATCTTGGTGCTAACTTCTCAGGCCCTGTAAGTCCTTTTAAACTTGTGAAATGTATTTTTAATTCATAGAGCTTATCTACGACCTTCCTTCCCTAGAGCAGAAATAAAGAAATAATTGAGTACCAATACTTAGCATACTATGAGATGATGTGTCTCTGATAATTATGCAAGAGTCACTTATCCAATTGTGAATCATCACTGTAGGTGGACAGTTTACCTGCTCCCACACGCTCTTCTTGAACTCCTGACTCATTCTCAGAGACGGATGGGGAGGGAAGCAGATGCCACTCTGCTGCGTACCACCCTGCTCCACCTCTGTCCTTTGGCACCCTACATCAACAGTTCTTCCATTGTTTGTTTTCTACACCATGCTTCCCCTTTAGGATTTCACTGAGAAAGAGGATTTTGACTTAAAGGAGCAGAGTACTAATAATATGTTTTTATTTTTCTGCTGTTGAGTATGGTGAGATCCAAGAGGGTGAAAAAGTAGAAAGGAAAATAACTTACCAATTTAGATAGGGGTAATTTTTAAAATAAAATTGTTGCAGTTATTTTAATTTTTGTCTTTTATCTCAAGGCTGCTTTTGGTCTGGACATCAGAAATTAGACATATAATGGTACAGACCGGGTAGGCAATTATTAGTTTTTTTATATATGGTCGAATAGTAAATATTCTATGCTTGCAGACCACATCTGGTCTGTGGTTCTTCTTTGTTGATAATGTTTAAAAATAAAAACGTATAGCCCTCTAAAAATATAAAAATATGCTTAGCTCACAGGCCAGACAAAAAAATACTGGGGGCCAGATTCAGCTTGAAGACCATAATATGCATACCTCCGCTTTATTATATTCTGGGCCGCTTTGAATCAGATGATCATGGTGTCAAATAACTTTGAATTTGACTATTTGAATGAGTACATCTTTAGCTGAGTTCCAAAGGCGTCACCATGGTGTTTAAAAAGGGATTTCATTTAAAATAGTCATAGTAAAGGTACTGTGTTAGTTACACAATCTCCTGTCAACTTGAGGGTATTAAGAGTGAAGGGGTGGAGTCTAGCTTGTCAATCAGGTCACAGCTTGATTGGAGGGTGACCAAGAGAAATGGCTCTCTGGAGGCCCGCCTCCCTCTCTCTGCCTTCACCTTCCGGTTGACAAGCCGTGTGGGGCCATGCTGAGACCTGAGACCCCTGCAGATGCTTCCACCACCAGCAGATCCACCAGCCTTGGCACCCACCAGCCTGTGATCTCCCTGCATTCTGCATCACTGCATGTGGCTGCGTGAGTCTGAAGAGGGGCTTATGGACTAGTATCGGACGTATGGGCTTGATCTGGACTGAGCTGGGATGTTTTCTTAATATACAATTACTCTATCACATAAAGCTCTTTCTTATACATATATGAGTGTCCCTGGATTTGTTTCTTTAGTAAATCTGGTCTAACAGAGGCACTAAATAAAATATTCACTTTAAATATGAAAATTTTGGTTAAAATATAAGGGAAAATGTATCAACCTCTATATCTTAAGAAGAAAAAAAAACCAAATAAAGTTAAAACATACTCTGAAATTTTAGCAACTTCAGTGACTTTTCTAAGAGGATTTTATTGTTAGGTAGTTCTCAAATTTTCAAGTATTAAATATCACATACATCCATGCTGTCACCACCTTAAAGTAGCAGGGACTGTGCTCACCCTCAGGGCCTGCACACAGAAGTTCTGCATACCCATCCTGGCCATATTTTTAAGTCATTCATGTTTATGTGTGCAAGTGACCATAGATTAAAAGTTTATTGAGCACATTTTCAGTTGTGAAACAGCCTCTTAATAAAGGCAGTAATATCAGATGCTTTTTAATAGCTGTTTAGACAGAGATTGTACTTTCAACTTCTCCATACTCTCTACAGCTCTATCCCTCCACTACTTGCTCCCTATTTTGGATTCTCCAGTCCTCTACTTTACTGAGTGATCGAGTCTGTCCCTTCCCACACTACCACAAGGAAATCTAAAGTACAGTAGAATAATATTGCCTTGAGACACTAAGCACCGTTCTATAGTGAGTTAAGTCTAAAAGTGCGACATTAAGATGTATGTTAGTGTTTATATAAGGAGTTCTGTTAATTATTAGTATCCTCGGTTCAGTTTTGAGCTCTTCAGAAATAAAATGCAGCTGATACTTAGGAGCTGGAAAAATACATTCCGAATTGAATGTTCATCCCAATAAGTGGGGCTTTTAGCATGGCTTTCTAAGTATGACTTGTTCTGACATTCTTCATGGGAGCCAGTCTCTTTCCACATGTACCTGATATCATCTTCTAATAATAATATAATAATTCACCTGCTAGATTGGGTTTCATTTTGTTAGTGATTAATAGCAAATTTCTAAGGTTAATATATATTCTGTTCATACTTTACAATTTGGAATTCTCTATACTACACTGCCCAAACAAAAATGATTGAAGTACCTTGGGCCACTGCAACAGTTTGTGATAGCAGTACATAGCACTGATTCCAATTCGCCCCAGCAAAGTTTTATCCATTTCACTATTCTGTGGATCTTTTCTCACTGGAAAACAAAGCAGGCAAATGGAAGTAAGTGAAATAATCACTTAAAGTGGTGGAAAAGCAAGTTAATAAAGAACTACTGGTACTACTATAAAGACTAGGGCCAGTAAAATATTACCTGTGGGCCCAGTCTAGGCCACGGCCTGACGTGATATAGTCCACGAGATAATGATTTGTGTATTTTTAAAGAGTTGTTAAAAAGAGAGAGACCTACGCAACAGGCACCATATGCGGTTGTGTGCAAAGCCCAAAATATTTACCACCTGGCCCTTTGCAGAAAAGGTTTGCTGACACCAAAAAGGACTACAGTTATGAATGGCTCATAAAAAACAAAGCAACAAATAAAAAAACTCTAAACGGTGTGAATTTTGTTTACTTTTAAGGGCAGTATGTTAAAAATCCAGGTGTTCATTATAATTTGCAACCAACAGTTTCATTAATCTTTCTGAAAAGAAAAATAAGGGCACAAAACATAATACTAAAACCTTGATTTTTTAAAATTTTATCTTGCAATAATCAAATTTAACAATAGATGGAAACATTTATAAAAACAAGGTGCATCTGAAAACGGCAATTTTAATTTATCCCCAACACAAAGTACATGAAGAATTTTACACGCCTAATAAGAACACTGCACCCCCTGCTAGACAATTATCTGACTAAAATAACGACATTTTACCTGCTTCAGCAAATTCACAAAAAGGAACACCTAGATTCTCTTCTGTATAGTCTTTTGTTAGTGTTTCAGCAATACAAGCACAGAATCTCTGGAAATCTGCAAATTTTTCACAAGCCATTTTCACGTTAATGTACAAGTTCCCCAATTTGGTCCAGTCGCATCTTTCTTTACAGTGCTATTAAGATTGTTAAAAGGAGAAAGGAAGACAAAAAGGAAGAAAGGTAAGAAGGAAAGAATAAAGGAAGGAAGGAAGGAAGGAAGGGAAACCATGTTATTGCACGGATTATGGGCTAGAAACATGTAGGCATTAGACATACAGAAATTAAGACACAATCTCTGCAAATCTTACACACTTGCTGACAAGTGTGACAACTTTAATAACATGCTATTGTGACGATAGCAAAGCCTCTATCAACCCAAGAAGACCATGTACATTTGTTGTGATTATTTCTGAGTGCGCTGTGTGCACGGCCGCCATGAATCTGACCCGACCCAATGGCAGTGAGTGTGGTTGGCATTTTAATGCACTGTGGTGTCACTGCACAGAGGGGACGGGCTTGATGGGAATGAATGACTTGCTTTGTCATTTGGGCAAGGTGCTTACTATCTTTGCACTTTCTCTTGCATAAAACAAGGATTATAATAGTTCACCGAGTTTCTATGAGGATTAATTGGCATAATCTAGCTATTCAGTGTGGTACTTAGCCCACAGTTAACAGTTTGTGCTACAAAGCTGCTTTCATAGCAATACTAACTACTTTTATTATGTTTAGAAATTGTGTTTTATCATTACTTGGCCATTTCTGATTTGGGACTTACACATCTCTTTGTAGGAACACATTTCTACAAAAGGTGCTACTATGTACATTTCAGTCAAGTCTGGATCTTCCTATTGGTTTTTATGATTAATTACTAACACACACAAAAAAACAACCAAAAAGTTGTTACAAGGATACATGATATTAATCAGTTAGACCAAATGAGTACAAAAACAATATAAATTTAAAAAGTAAAATCATGCTGTATGTCCTCTACTTCTTGAGCTCTAACCAGGTAGAGAGGTTAGCGTGAGGTTGGTTTTCCAACAATGCACATGGGCTGCAGTGGTCCATGAAGCATGCCGTACATACCAAGGAAGTTGGCCCACCAGAACATAAGCGTTACAGGCTAAGCTATGAGATACTATTATTATTATTATTTATCTCAACATAAATTTGTGAATGAAGCTATTTGTGAATAAATAGCTCACAAACTCTAGAAATGAATGTGTATGGCCTGCTTGGGCTGGTAAATGCAAGAATGGCTGTTCAAATCCACCAGCTGTTCCGTGGGAGAGAACTGAGGCTGTTTGCTCCTGCAAGCAGTCCCAGAAACTCTGAGCAGTTTTACTCTGTCCTATAAGTCTCTGTGATGGAAATAAACTCATTTCTTTTTTATGGTTTGTATTTCAAAATGTTAACGGGTAAAAACAAAATAAAATTACTTTTCTTTGAGCATTTTCTCTGTAGAAGAGCCATGTTTCTAAAACTTTTCTTAAAATGGCATTACTATATGAACTTTTTGTTGGGGCTGGTTTTAGAAACTTACTTAAAAACAAGTCTCTCTGTAAAATGTTTCTGTAGACTTAAAATTACTCTTAAAAATACAATCTATCAAGCAAAAAATAAAAGGTGTCATACCTCTATTTCATTCAAGGCTGACTCTAAATCACACTTCCAACTCTTTTTAAATTGCCTCATCTGTAACCTTTAATAACAGAAAAACATTAATTGTATTTATGGTCACCCCTCAAGTTACTATTGCTCCTAATTAATTTTTACTATTGCTTATCTCTAAGAGCCTAGAGAAAGATGAAAATAGAAGTATACTATAAAACTCTTTAGAGCAGAAGAAAATGGCAACAACATAATTGCCTACCCCATTAAATTTTCTTAAGAAGCAGTAAGAGTAGGAAAGTTTATTCTACACAAAACCACTCTCAGCATAACCGGAAAACAGAATGCCAAAATTTAAAACAACAAACTAACACCGCTCCAAACAACGAGCCAGCACATGACCGCTCCCAGCCCACACTCACAAGGATTTGTGGTACATGAAGACAGGTCAGAACAAACAGCACACAGCAAGTTATCAAACAAAAACCTGAGCAGGGAACAGGAGCCCAAAGCTGGAGGGACCTAACATGGATTCAGAAAGATCACCACGAGCATTTGAAAATGCTAACAACAACAAAAAAAGAGTAAGTCAAAACCCAAATCAGAGGAGAGGAACTTAAGAGTACACAGCTTCTGGGAGAGAAGATGGAAAAACAGGAAGTGGGAAGCCCCTTTGGCAAATGGAAAGAGAAACAGAAGAAAAGGGGCAAGTTTAGAGTAAGGAGCCTTGGTGGTATTGCTTACTTACTCCT